CATAAATTGCTGGCAACCACGGGCTGCCAAGCCTGTATGGAGCACCTCAGAGGGGAAGAGAGAGCATGTAGGGGTGTGACAGTAGCCCCCTGCCCCCACCTCGGAATCACCATTTATTCTTAAAAATGAAAAAAAAAAGCAATATTCCTCGCAAGATTTATGGCCATCTATACCAGAAAATGTCCCCAAATTAGACAGTAAAAGATGAGTTTTAACGTATCTGGAGGCTATTGTTAGAAATGTATGAAAATTAATGAATGAAGCTCTAAGTCACTCACTCTCATTTTCAGGGTTGATGTCTGAAGTATAAAATATTGCTTCTTCTTTCTACTGTTCATACACACTCTCCAAAAGGCAGACATTCACAATTGTTCTTTTTTAACCAATGTAAAACCAACTACTAAGGATTACTATTCCTCTTTAAAAAAAACAAAAACAAAAAAAAACCCAAATCATGGGTACATTTTTGCCCGTTTCTTCTTTCTGAATGTAGGCTTGTTACTTCAATTTTCATTGCTAGTAATAATGAGGATTATGATGCCACACTGGTTTAAATGCTCCTTTTTGTCCTTCTGGTTCAATATGTGCTTTTATATTGTGTCTATTCTTCTTCTTCATTGTATTCCCACAGGATGTCCGTTGCCACTTCTGAGGTACGTATGTTAAAAATCATTGAATTGAAAAGAAAGTGAGGTCAGAAGTCAGGAAGAAATATCCTTTAGCCTCCCCACACTAGAATTAATTAGCTCTCCTGGAAGACACAAAATGGAGTCTGATCATACAAGAGAAGGAGCACACAATTGAAAGCATGATTCAGGTGTAGAACATGCTTTCAAAATGGGCTTTTGTTCCCCAAACGTCTTTAAACGTTACATACAGCACATTGGGTGGTTTCAAAGCTAACCCACCTGAGTGAGCCAGAGCATTTACTGGACAACGTTTTAAGGAGTCTGAGTAGGAAGCTTGTGATGCTCCGACTGAGCAGGCGTGCCCTGATTGCGTGTCCCAGCTCTGACTCACTTTCTCCCAGCCCTCTTCTTCAGGACAAATGCTGTGGCTGCTCCTGGGAAGGGAGCACACTTCCTGAGCACACAGCAGAGACTACCTCCTTCCTGCTGTGGCAGCCCACCTGCATACTCTGCCCCATCCTCATCCCACCTGCATACTCTGCCCCGTCCTGGTGTGGGAGTAAGATTCCCTCCCAGGATTCCAGGATGGAAAGGGCTCTCAGCATACAGGAGAGATGTCAGTAGGTCCCTTGTGCAGTTACCCCTAGTCCACTGCCCATAGTGATCCCCCCTCCCCAACAGGTCCCTCCCTCATTCTCATTCTGTTCCACAAGTCCCAAGGATCTTTGAGGACCAGAATCTCGAAAACAACAGTACATTAGTAGATTGGCATGGGCATGGCCTCCTCTCCCAGCATTTAAAGTAGAGGATGCTTTGGCCCAGCATGAAATGAAACAGTAGCTGGGAGTGGAGGAAGGAGGGAAGCCATTCTCTCTTTGAAACCTGCAAGACTGTTCTCTCCTCCCATGTTAGGGTCCAAGTGACACTTTTCAATATTCAGGCAATTGATTCTAAGTTTTTGCTTAAGCACTATTTTGTTTGTTTGTTTTGTTTTACTCTGTTCTTACATTTCGACCTAACAACTTCTTTCTTGGTAACTACTGCACCTCAACTGCATGTTCTCAGCTTTTACATGTAGCATTTCATGGGACAGTGATTTTTGTTTGTTTGTTTTGTTTTCTGTTTTTTTGGTCAGCTACTATAATGGTTAATTTGGGGGTAGACATCCAATCAGAGTGGACTTCAGGACTTTGCTACAAGCTAGCTGAAGGTACTGGCTGTAGCTCCATTGATCTGATGTTGGGTGTGGTCAGGCTGGGAGCCTGACATCACCATGCCACAAGAATGAAGCAAAGCAAAGGAAGTAGTGAAGCAGAGCTAAGAGATGGACCCAGTCACCTTGTTGAAGACTGAATCCCACTCATTTTAGTTATAAACTCATCCTTAGCTTGAGATGCTTTGCCTTGGGCCCTCTGTCACAATTTCAATAAAAAGCTCTTCTAACAGATAAACAACTTTGTACAGGGCAGTTTTATGTCAACACAATAAAAGCTAGAGTCATCAGAGAAGAGGGAACCATAAGATCAGGCTGTAGGCAAGCCTATGAGGCATTTTCTTAATTAGTGATTAAAGGGGGCGGGTCCAGTCCATTGTGGGTGGTGCCATCTCTGGGCAGGTGGTCTTGGGTTCTATAAGAAAGCAGGCTGAGCAAGCCATGAGGAGCAAGCCAGTGAGCAGCACTCCTCTGTGGCCTCTGCATCAGGTCCTAGCTCCAGGTTCCTGCCCTGCTTGAGTTTCTGTCCTGACTTCCTTTCACGATGGAATGTGATGTGGAAGGAGAAGCTGAATAAACCCTTGCCTCCCCGATTGCTTTGGTCATGGTGTTTTGTCACAACAATAGCAATGCTAACTAAGACAAATATCATCTTTTCTTGCTACATATATTGTAGAATAATTCATCGACACACAGTATTATTGTAAGTAGAAAATGTGATCATTTACGTACAGGACATTTCAAGAGAGCAAACAAAAACGTGAAAGAGTGTCAGTATTCTTCCCTAAAGGTGATATATTATTGATATTTTCCTCCTTCTGTCATAACTGGATTTTTCTTACCTTCCATTTGAACTTAAACTCAGGTAAACCTACAACTAAATGAACAAGCCCTTATCCTAATGCCCTACCATTCTCTGACACCCCCTACCATATTTCCTTCTGCCAAACTCCAAAAATGTTTTTCAGTGTCTCTTAGTCCATTCACTTCTGGCCACTACCTTCACCAAAGTCACCGTCAGTTGTTGCATGAACTGACGAACTTTGGATTCTGTGTGGACCACTGGGGAAGAACTACAGCAGTTGTGGATTTTTGTTGGGAGTACCAGTTATGTATCTGCAACGTGACTAAATATCCCCCAACATAGCAGCCCAAACCGACAATAGAAATGTGTTACTTTTGTGGTTTCTGTGAGGTTGGGTTTGAGACTGGCTTAGCTCCACGGTTCTGGTTCAGGGTCTGTTGTAGTTAAGGCACAGGCCAAGGGTGCAGGTATCAGGGGCTTGACTAAAGCTGCAAATCTATTTCCAGTTTGGCTACTAGAATGGGCAAGGTGGGTGGCAAGTTGGTGCTGGTTGCTAGCAGGAGGCACTATTCATAACATGGTTTCTCTATGGGACTCAGTTTCATGACATAGCAGCAGCCTTCCCCTACAGTAAATGGTGGAAGAGACCTTAAAGAGGCCGTGACTTCTTCTAAGACCCAACCTTGGGAGACAAGCGCCATCACTTTCCCAATATCATTTGAATTATCCTTATCAGCCCCCTCTGATAGGAAAAGCTGTACTCAGTGGCATAAACGCCAAGAGGTGAGGATCATAGGGGTCATCTTGGAAGCTGGCCACCCCAATTAAAGATGATGAAATCTTCAGTCTGGGGTGGTTAGCTCTGAATGTAGAACAGTCATTGTCAAGGTAGAGGTGGACTGTAGCACGCTGGCTTTGGGAGCTGCGGTACAGAGACGCAGTGGGAGTCATTAGCACAGGGAGGCAAAGGTCTCCCAGGAATAGGGAGAAGATGGTGAAGAACAGAACCATTGACATTTAAGGATGAACAGAGGAAGGGAGGGATGAAAGCAGAAGGTAGAAAACTCAATGAGGGAGATGGAAGGCTGAGCAATGCCATCCACACCAAAGGAGTTCCAGGAGGAAAATCCCTAAAATTCCCTCTACACTCGAGAATTCTCTCATGTCAGTTGACAACTGCGACAATAAAAGTTTTACTGCGGGATGGAGACAAGTGAAAGTGAAAAGGGGAAAACCCCAAAAGGTCGCTGGAATTTCCTGTCCACTGGATCCATCCAATTCCTCCTTCTCTTTGTAAACACAAAACAATCATCTTGTTTCACTTTTGATGAAATTGATAGGTTTTTTTTTTTATTTCCCACTTCAAATTGGAGTTTTTCCCCTATCTGTCCCCCACCCCGAGTGTGTGTGTGTGTGTGTGTGTGTGTGTGTGTGTGTGTGTGTGTGTGTGTGTGTGTTTGATGCTGGTATGTGCAGATGTCTGTGGGTGTCGTTGTGTGTTCCACGTAATGCCTGTGGAAGCTGGAGATGGACCTCAACTGTCTTCCTGGGCAGCTCCTCTCCACCTTACTTTCGGAGCCAGGGTCTCTCACTCAACCCGGAGCTTACCATTTAAACTTCGCCGCCTGGCAGAAAGCTCCAGGGTTCTCCCCATCTCCACGAGCCCCACTGGGGTTCCAGGTGCACTCTGCTGCACCCAGCTCTTACACGGGAGCAGGGGATTTGAACTCAGGTCTTCATGCTTGTAGAGCACTTACGTTATCTACTGAGCCATCCCCTCCTCTTTGCTCTGTTTATTTTGTTCCTGGATTTCTTCCATTTTTTTTTTCCTGGCCACTGAAAGAATCATCTAAAATATAAGACCTGGTCATCAACTTAGTGTATTCTCCTCCTGCCTCCTGGAGCAGCACTCCCTGCATTATACCATGTAGGGTTTAGAAGGCTCCAGATCTCCAGAGCCCTCCATGTTCCGTGACATCATAACACATCATAGTTTGTAACAATTCTGTTTCGACTCCGTGTTTTGGTTGGGTTTTTTTTTTTTTTTTGATATTTTGATCACCTATAATTCTAATAGTCAAGCCTTAGGAAATAGAATTTGATATAATTATGAACTATCCATAAATATAATTGATTTTTTTCTTTGTTTTTTGTTTATTTGTTTGCTTTTGTTTTGTTTTGCACTGTTTTGTCTTTGAAAGCCTTCAGGTTGGGCTTGTGTGTGACTCAAGAGATTTGTTTTATTTTATTTTAGGACAATTTTAGCCAATCTATGATCTATTTGTCCTGCACCTGGCCAAATACATTTGCTCTGACCCATTTCTTAGACAGCTGTTTTCTGTTTACTTTCTAGGGAGAAAAGGACATGGTCAGCCAAAGAAAATACTGCAAGTGCCAGCAAGAGAATCTTATGTGATCACTTAGCAAGCCAATTGTATTTTGACCCTCTTCACTATATTTTGGAGCATTCAAATTTAAGTCCCTACAGGTGGAACTGAATGTGGAGAAAAAGAATCAAACTTTACATCAACGCATAAATAGCATTTTTCCCAAGCAAATGAAACCTCCAAATGGGACTAAAACTTGCACTCCTGAACATCTTGTAACAGTGACTGGAAGTCCTAATATACCCAATTTTCTTTCCTCTCTTTACTTCATTACAGAATTGGCACAGGAAACACTCCATTCCTTGTTGGAATACAGCCATCTCCAGCACAGAGAGCAACAAACTCTTTAATAGCTACACAATAAAGCATTTCACAAAGCTATGTAAAGGCAGTCCGGGTCAAAGAAAGCTACTCTCCAGCACCATTTCAAGCTGCAACTTAGCTGGTATGCATGTAGTCAGGGTGGCCAAGGAACCTCAGATGTGCCCGTGTTTGGGGGCAGGAATTACCTTTAAAGGAGGTAACTGAATTAAAATAAAGTCATTAGTGTAGACCCTAGTCTACTGTGACAAGTGACCTTTTCAGACACAGAGGAAAGACCAAGTACAGACTCATGGAGAAAATGCTCATCTATAAATGAGAGAGACAGAGAGACAGAGACAGAGAGAGACAGAGAGAAAGCGCTTAGAAGAAGCTGCTCTTGATGGCACCTTGAACTTCAACTTCTAGAACTGTAGGGAAAATGATTTCTTTGTTGAACCCACCCAGTCTGTGGCATTTGTTGTGGTGACACTTGCACGCCAATTCAGCCACGGTGATGGGCAACAGTAGCAGCCCTATGTTTGGTTCTTTGAGTCCAGAAACCCCAAATGTAGCAGGCAGCGAGCTCCATGTCTGCACTGGCTGGCTAATCTGGCTTCTCTCCCCGAGTGGCTGGAGTCTTCCCCTCATCCACTCATGGACTTAGTTATTTTCAAACTCACATACAAGATATGATAACCTAAATTAGTCCCAGCAGGAAGTAACTAAAGAGTTAGTTTCTTTCTGTGATTGCACACATGCACACATGCATTAATAACTGATAAATATTCTAATAAGTGTTTTAAAGGTCAACAAGAGGCAAATTCTTAGCAAGGCAAAGTGATCACATAAATAAGCTGTGTGGGAGAAAGTCAGGGCCCATTTATGTTTTTCTCTCTCAGTCATGTACTGACGCATGAGGATTTATATGAATCTGTTGGGAATAGTGATAGCCTGTTCTGGACACGTTGGGGAGGGGGGCACGTCTTCCTTTAATTCAGAGTGTGTATTTGAGAAAATTCCCACCAAGATGTATTAAACACAGGAAATAGAGAGCATTAAGTTAGGAACTGAAATAAGTACAGCAAGATGACTTTTCAGTCTGCATGACATTATCCCACCGTGTCTGTGGGATTTGGGTTCTTTGGGAGAGCTGTGCTCCATCTGGACTTCCCAGCTTCTCTGAGGACAGAGAGTGGGGAGGATCAAACAGACAGATGTTGACCCAGAGGATTCCCAGGCTGGCGGTGCATCTACTGCTCTACGTCTTGACAAGGTGCCTCCAAGGCTACTTGGAGTATACATCTTCGATACATACATGCCTCCATTTCTTTCAAAGTGATGTGCTTGTTCCACTTGTTAATTCAGCGTGTGTGTGTGTGTGTGTGTGTGTGTGTGTGTGCGCGTGTGCGTGTGTGTGTGTGTGTGTGTGTGCGCGTGCGTGCGTGCGTGCGTGCGTGCGTGCGTGTGTGTGTGTGTGTGTGTGTGTTGTAAAGCATTCTCAAAAAGAGCTTTTGTAAGAATGACTTTAATATTCACTTTCTTCTCATGGGTTTACCCGTGTTTTCCATGTTCATGATCTTGTTGAGTATGGCCTAGGAGGTAGGCAGAGTTTTACTGCCTGAACATATATCTATCCATTGTGAGACTCTATGGTTTTAAAAACTCATGGATTTTGTGTGTGTGAAGGAGCACATGGTGTGCACTGCTTATACTGATTATACCTAGAGCCACAATGCCAACTTTCCAGAAATTCTGCAAGGCTCACATGCTAAACAGTAACATATGGGCTCCTTTTTTAGTTTTGGGCTCCAAAGTCTCTTTCCCAATCCTTGATTGGAATTACACTCCAAGGTATGGTCAAGTGTGACCTTTACATCATGGCAGAAGAAAGGAGTAGTGTGTGGCAGTTCAGCATTCAGTGTTGTGACTTCTGTTCCTCCTTATATATAACCATAAATATATGAGATAAGCTAGGGCAAAAGTCTCCTCCTCATGGTGTCCATAGGAAGCATGTTTGGCTCAGTAGATCCTTTCATTCCATGTTTGGTTATTTTTCTTTGTACTAAATTTAAGTCAAGTTAAAATCACTTCTTATTGCTTAAAATACTAAGTTTGAGATGATCTGCTGTAACGAAGCCCTTTATCTACCTGGTCTCTCTTAAAATAGCTTCTTACTTGAGCAATAGGGGAGCATAAATTCAGGGTTGTGAAATTTAATGCCTTCATCTTTTCTTGTTTCTGCTTTCTCCTGGAACACTTCTAGATCGCCTAAAGTAGTTTTGTCCTGTAAACATATACTGTGTAAGACCTATACAGTTATTTTTCTTCGAAACAAATCAGATATCACCATACAAGTGAATTAGGGAATAAATCCAAGGATTTCTTTTTCTCCCACTGGTGAAAGGGGACTTTGCAGATCAGAGCAAGAATGAAGAGCATTGTGCTTTGGGTCAAGCTACACCTACTGTCCTGAGGAGGACACAGCATGGTCAATCTGAAGGCTCCATCATCCCCCTGGAGACAAACCACACATTCCGTATTCCCTTACATTGTCTATGTCATGACCCACAGTGTCCACTTTACAAGATGGCCGTATTACATGATATGCCTCAGTCATAAAGCCAGTGTTTTCTTTATATTTAGCATAATGGTTTCTAGAGACTGCAAGTCACACAATCCTGGCATACAAATACAGGGTGAGACCTCAGAAATCATCTAATAAGTTCAGGCCTTGCTCTTTCTAGTTGAGGAAGTCACAGCCCAGAGAGGTGAGGCGTCTTTTCACTGAGAAATCATCAGCATGTATCCTGGCTGGTTTTGTATCAACCTGACACAAGCTAGAGTCATCAAAGGAAGGAGCCTCAGCTGAGGAAATGCCTCCATGAGATCCAGCTGTAAGGCATTTTCTCAACTAGTGATCAACGGGGAAGGACCCATCCCATGATGGGTGGGGCCATCTCTGGGCTTGGGGGGTCCTGGATTCTGTAAGAAAGCAGGCTGAATAAGCCATGGGGAATGAGCCGGTAAGCAGCACTTCATGGCCTCTTCATCAGTTCCTGCCTCCAGGATCCTACCCTGTTTGAGTTCTTGTCCTGACTTCCTTCAATGATGAATAGCAATATGAAAGTGTAAGCCAAATAAACTCTTTCCTCCCCAACTTGGTTTTTGGTCATGGTGTTTTGTCACAGCAACAGAAACTCTAACTAAGACAGCATGCTAAGGACAAAGCCTGCCGACCTATAACTGCACCCTTTTGACTTCAACTCGCTACATTGAGCCTAAGCCTGAGACCCTTAAGCTCTCACCTCCTTTGTCCTGGCTTTGGCTTCTATTTATGGCCTCATTATTACTGCAGTATTGTTAGGTAGTTTCAAAGCACACAGGGCAACAAGTAGGGGCTAAGAATGGACATTGCAAAGGTAGACCAGCTCTCCAAACTCCCAGAGCTTCTTCACTCCTTCATGGTTGCAGCAACATCAGCTGTGTCTGAGGACTCCCAGAGACCTACAATGCAAACAAGGCCCTACATAGGCTCATTTTCCAAGCAGAACATCCTCAAAAACGATTTAAAAATGTTTTTACAGATAAAATGGAGAAAATGTATGCATCTATTCAGTACCCTCTTTAATAATCATCAGTAAGATGAGAAAAGCCGCCTTTTTAGAAACCAGTAGAGTACAAAATTTAGAAAAGTGTAAAGCAATACTTATTTGAAGAGGAGAGACACTGCTGTAGTTTAATATAGAACTGACTAGAGATAAAAGTCTTAAACAGAAGCAGTTGTAAAGAATGGTTTGGGACACCTGCTGCGGTAAATATGGCACTAGAAGATGTTCAGCTGGTGAGGGGTGCTCCTTGGGGGAGAGTAAATACACCTGAGCCTTTATAATACTTTAATTTTCATAGAAATATGTTACAATAGAAAAACACTCATATGGACATTATGAAAATCATAAATTCTTTCACTACAAATTCAACAACTAAAGTAATTAAAATTTTTATACATATGAGTGATTTTTCTACATGTGTGTCTGTGTACCATGTGTGTGTCTGGTACCCATAGAGCCCAAAAGAGGGCATGGTATCCCCCCGAGATTGGAGTTACAATTCTGAACTGCCACATAGGTGCTGAAAACCAAACCTGGCTCCTCTGGAACCACAGCAAATGTTCTCAACTGCTGTGCCATCTTTCCAGTCCCCATTAAAGTAATTTTTAATAAAATATTTACATGATGATCATGGGGGTGTTACAAAGAAATGTACTCAATCTGATTATCAAAAGACAACTATATGTCAACAACATGAAAAAGAACAGTAAACTGAGCTTCCATGTATGATAGATTAATGAGTGTATGACCTAAAAATATTTAGTTGTAATTTACTAGATTATCTCATGCTAGATGATTGCTTATGGCTCTTGTCAATAATCTTTTAACCATGTAAAATCATAAGGACAAAAAGAACCCATTACATTAATTTTTCATGTATTTATATTTTATGACCTCTCCATTTCCACTCTCTGTCCATAAGAGCAATAACTAAGATTGTAGATTTTGTGTCTTCAATAGAGCATTCTCATTCTGAGAGGTAAGAGTGGCCATCCTTAGAAAAATCTTCCCTTAGCTTAATGGCCTTACATCAAATCTGTCAATCACTGTTGGAATAAGACAGTGAACTTGATGCTGTGAACACATATGCATCAAATGCAAGTTCAGAGATAGCCCCAGGGTAGGGCTTAAACCTCATGCAACTCCATCCATGGTCAAAGACAGAAACAGGGCTTCTAACTCACTCTAAGGAATGGGGTGGGTAGTAATACCATAGGAGTCAGATGTGAAGAAATATAAAGTTCCAAACCAATCCTTTAAAACACAGACTTATACAGGGCATTAACCTAGTATCCAAGTTATGTTCTAGGATAATATAGAGAGTGATTTATTAAACAACTTCATTACAACATAGAAGTCAAATATGTAAATGCATATTGATCTCATTTCCATAACCCTATCAACATTACAAATAATAACTAGATAGCAGTGATATAAAGGTTTTAACTTCTGTTTCTGCTAATACTAGTCACAGAACCTCAAGGTATAGCAATGAAGAATTAGCTCATGTTAAAGTAATTATGTGGGAGGCAGCTAATAAAAATACATTGACATTATACACACTTGTCTTTCCACAAGAACCACAGCAGTCAAACCACATTAAATTTAAAAGAATTCACTAAAATACTTACTACCCAAAGGTGAACAACAGATCTTCCTTAAGCAGCTGATGGTGATGATTAGGAGAGTCATGTCTGATTTGCCCATAAAACTCATTATTTCTTTTGCTATTCTTGGGATTAATTTATTTCACTTATCTGTGACCTGTTTAGTATGGATCTAGGTCACTTTTAAATGAAAAAAAAATTCATTTAGAGTAATGGTAAGTCCATACATTAAAAGAGAAAAAAAAATCTGTAGATATAAATATAATGCAGGCATTCCTTAGGTCACAAGCACCTGACTTATGAATACAGGTGCATGTGAGCAGAGCCCTGAAGAGTTTGAGGCAGAACTAGCCAACGCTATTCACGTAGGTTCCATTAATGAATGGAATCATTGTTTTAGTGGGAGTCTCCTTCCCCCAGTGTACCCAAAAAGTAGCAACCAGAAAGTCCCACTATTTGTATTAAAATCTCTGAATGCTTGAATGTTAAACATACCAACTCAAAACAATGTAAGAATACTTCATAATCTACATCCGTGGTTCTCAGCCTACCTAATGCTCTGACCCTTTGATACAGTTCCTCATGTTGTGGAGACCCCCCCCCCCCCGCCCACAACCATAAAATTATTTAGTTGCTATTTCATAACTGTAAATTTGCTACTATTAGGAATTGTGATGTAATTACCTGATACGCAACCCCACAGGGGTCGGGACCCACCAGTTGAGAATCACTGATCTATATAAAAGACGAGTGTGAATCATCGTGGGGGCAAGAGTGTATTCAGGGGCTATAATCTATTGCCCTTCTTTCGAGATTTGAGAATCAAGTTTGCTGTATTCCTAAGCATGTTTCCAGAATGTGAAGCAGCCTGTTGATGACTGGTAAAGGATTTGTGTCAGTAGCGCATATACTGTACACTGGGTCATCCACACAGACTTTTCCGCCAACACATTAATGTTCCATATCATGTGGTGCTGGCTGCTGGGTGCAAAATACATTAGCTCAGCTCAGTGTAGCAAACCACAGGGGGATAGCACACTGGCCATCCACTCTGCTCTGCCTTAGCATGATCATTTACACAGACTCCCTCAATCTCCGTGCATTCTGATCTTGTCTCCACAGTGGCAGTCATCTGTTAATTTCCTAAATAGCTCCTTTACCAAGCTACATTCACTTCTTAAGTCCTATGGGCACGACAGTGTATTTAGCTGAAAGTTATTACAATTTGTAGGTCTAAGTTACCATAATTTATTGGAAATGATTGTTTTTATTGATGTTCTCTTTACATGCTGCCTCAGTGCTAATTGGTTTTTCTCAATCTTATTTTCACTCCGAAGCACTGTTATTTTTGGTGCGAGCTATTGGTTTAGTTTTTTTTTTTTTCCTATCTGAAATACATATACTGGAAGTGAAAGATCATCACTTACATGTAGTATTTCAAGTCATATCTATTTACTAATTATTATCCTTAAACCAATGTAAGTCACCAAGCCTTTTCATACATCTTATCATTTAACCCCACCCAAACATCCACTCCACAGCTGTAGACGTGTAGCCATAAGCTTCTCTGGTCCCACTCGGCCCATGGTCCCATGTTTCTCCAGTCCCGCAGCCACTTATAAAATAATCACTCAGAGGCTTAATATTAATTGCAAATTCTATGGCCTATTGGCTCAGGCTTCTTGCTAGCTAGCTCTTACAACTCAACTCAACCTATAACTCACAGAGATCTGCCTGGATCTGCCTCCCGAGTGCTGGGATTAAAGGCGTGTGCCACCACCGCCCGGTGTGTTCCATGGCTTTACCTGCGTCCCATTACATGTTGCTCCGTGGACGGTGGTTTGGCGTCTCCTCCCACTCTCTTTTCCCCTCCCACTATCTCTCTTGGATTTTCCCACCTAGCTCTATCCTGCCCTGCCATAGGCCAATGCAACTTTATTTATTAGCCATTGGGAGCAACACATATTCACAGCGTACAGAAAGACATCCCACAGCACAGACTGACTGGAAACTACATACTAAGCAGCCTGTTAGGCTCTGGAGAAGGCCATGAGCAATGTAACAGACCAGACCTTTCCTTTCATGCCTAGGTTCTTCAGCCAGATTGATATAATAATTGATGTCATAACTTGTTACTTGTGCTAGATTTCCTTGTCTAAGTCAAGGGCACACTGTTATTCCTCAAGGCCAAGGGGATAAGAAGGAACCACTATCACTGAACTCCCTGCCACTGTCCTGGGGATGGGAGAGGTGGGATCTCTCATATTACACATCTGCCATCACCAACAGTAGAAGCCATAAGATCCCAGGTGATCTTGGTTGCTAACCTCTACCTCCCACACTCCCAAACTCAGCTGTGTGACCCTTGCACTTTGACCTTAGTACTTATTAGGATTTGGACTCTCTGGGACTTGAACTTCAGATTTCCCTGTGACTATCTAGCTTCCATTACCCCTCTGCTCATGTCTCTTAGCTTTTGGTTTTTCTGAAGGCATACATCTCATACCTTCTCAGCCTTGCAGACCAATCTCAGACCTTTTGGCCATTCCCAGTTCCCCACAATGGGATGTAGAAGGTTATTGATTGGACCCCATTCTGGCCACGTCAGGAACTATTATACAAGCACTCAGTATTCTCCACAATACCTCATGCTCACCCTTCAGAGACTATTGTCCTGTGAAAACACAGTGTCTTCATGGCTAGTTAACCCTACAAGCCATATCCAACTTATTATCTCAAAAATATATCCTCCTCCAAGTTTCCAGTGGCTCCCCATCACTTTTATTATTATTATTATTATTATTTCCAGATTCCTCATTGAGGTCCAAGCCCTGTGTGATCTGGTCCCTGTCTCTTCATGAATAATATTTCTCACCAATATTTGCCTCCATATTGAAGCCACAGTTTGTAGCTGGAGCTTTCCTGCCTGGCCCACAGTCAGG